TTGTTAGTGTGTGTGAGTTTATCTCCTATTGAGTCTGCTTCTCTGGAGAACCTAGATTAATACAAGTGTCTAGGGGAAGACTGAAAATTAACAAAATCCTTTTGAGGATGATTTCAAAAACGATCAGACACATTGTTGATATGTCAATATGTTTTTAAGCATTTTGTTATTCTTTATAAAAATTGTTCTATACCTAAATGGTAATAATTTTGAAAAGTAGTCACCGGTATATTATATTTTTCTCATTGTCTTAATTTCTTTGAGAATATATATGGTCTAATAGCTTCATAGTGTTTTTATATGAAGTAGTTTTATCATGTGATCACTACACAAAGTAAGTTTAAAGTTTCTAAGTTTTTGACCAAAGGTTTTTTATTTAACTTTAATGTCTTCTTTGATAAAACAGCCTTGAAATGTTCTAGAACAGAATGGAGTAAACTTCTTCCAATTTGTTTCTGGGAATTTTATCCTTATTTGAAAACCCCGAATTTCTTCACCCAGGTTCTACTTTAATTGGGCACTTACAAAACAATTCTTCAGTCAGTGTCTCTAATGTCTCCCTGCTTCCCAACAAATCTATGAAGACAGAACAAAAGATGCAACTCACAGAAACACAGAAAATTAAGACTGTCAGAGGACATAGTGCTTGATTCGGAGGTGGTTGGGAGAAAGATTTTCACTGAATAGCAGAGTAATGGAAGATTATGATAAAAATAATTAATGGTCTTCTCCAATCTCTTTCCCTACAACAGAGGAGTCATGTTTCCTTAAAAACAACAGGCAGACGTCTTATTGAAACCTCACTGAATGCCCACAATCTAGAGACACCAGGTCAGAACCTAACAGGACACTAGGCCGTCATCCTTATGTAAAAGTGTTGTTTCTTAAGGTACCAAGGCTCACTTATCCTCCACCTTCCCCTAACACCTCTTCCAACCCCATCACACACAAGTATGCACATCTGAATTAAAAACACAAGCAGGTGGTACAGGGTTGAACAGGGGGAGTTACATCTTAGAAAACATCATCCTCCAGGTGTGGAACCATAAATGGACTATAGGCAGAAGCTCCTAAAGTAGTACAGTATAATATTCCCCTTGTATTTCATCTGCAAAGTGTCAATGATACAGATAATGGAGTTGGAAAATGGTTCTATTTCAGTCTAGAGACATGAAACTGATAAACTTTTGTTAGACACTGATGTATGGCTAAGACTCACAGACATTAGGTACCCTTTCATCTCTACTGATATAAAAAGGTGATTTGGTTAGTACCTGGTAGAGAGTGAGCAGCATCAAATGAAATTGATACATTTTCTGATGGTAAACACTGAATCTGGATGACTTTGACTTAAGAATAACAAAGAGGAAAAAACAAAAACAACAACACAAGGTCTCGCAGGAAAGATAAAGAGAACGTTATACTGAGGCCCAAGAAGAATCTGAAAATGATTTATTACAGAAATCTGAGCTCACATAAGAAAACGATATGAGAGTATTAAGCACTAAGACATGGCCTCTAGAAACCTTTTGAACCTCAACCAGAGAATTTAGCGAAGGAAAGTCAGGTGTTTTAGTAATAGACATAGAAATGTGTATGTGTGTGTTGTAGTATATGCTATGCATGCAACTACATATATATGCATCTTAATGTATAGAGTGATATTTATATATGTGAATAGACAGGGAGATAAATAGATAAGTAGGTAGGTAGGTAGATATAAATAGGTAATATAAGAGGAAATCCCATAAGATTTACTTTGATCTCATTTGTTGGTAAAAATGCCTTCAATAGCACTCACCACTCATTCCTAATTTTTCAAAATTAATTCCTACCAAATTATGAATTGATAACATACCTTAAAAATTACTTTTAAAACTATTGAACATTATATTTACAAAAAAAGAGTATTTGCTAATACCCTTACTAATTAACACAGACTTTGACTTTCTTGCCAAGGCAATAAAATATAATACTGAAATAAGTGAAGGCAAATTTTTGTTATTATTTGTAGACAATATGACTATTTAAATAGAGAACTCAAGAGAATAATCTGCAAAAGTCTGAGAATTAATATTAAAGTTCATTACAGTGATTGGATACAAATTAAATGGCAAAAGTTGATAGTTTTTCTGTACAGCAGCAATAACCAATTAGTGTACCTAATGTGAAAAGGTACTATTCACAAAATAGTAATATGTTATTAAGAAATGTACACAACTTATATCAGGAGTCTTAAAATACTTTATTAAACAATATAAATAAAAACTTCGATATAATGAAAATAGAAACTGTATTTCCATAACGGAGCACTGGATTTTTTAAAATATGCAAATAACTTTCAAATTAACGATAGGGTTAATAAATGTTATTTGAGATCATGGTAAAATAATTCGAAGTTCATTTGTGAGAACAAACAGGTAAATGTATCTATGAACATTATGGAGAAAGAAAAATAATTCACATCTTTTAATACATTAAGACAGGTGTTTAAATATGTTATGACGTTAAAACACTGTAGTTCTGGTTCATGAACTACAGTCAGATTAATAGAACAGAATAGATAGTATTTGGACACACTATAGTATATATCATAATTTAGGTTATGGCAAAAACAGAGGGCATCATAAACCAAAGGATTAAAAGATGTAAGTTTCTAAACAAATGGTATTGGGAGAATTAATTATTGAGTTAAAAAAGAGCCCTAATTCATAATATTTACTAAACAAATAACTTGCAAAAAGTTGTTAAATAAATAAAGCAAACAAATAAATGAATATACAATGAGGCTTTAAAAATTTTTTAAAGTGTACTTTAAGTTTTCCTTCCTTCCTTCCTTCCTTCCTTCCTTCCTTCCTTCCTTCCTTCCTTCCTTTCTCCCTCCCTCCCTCCCTCCCTCCCTCCCTCCCTCCCCCTCTTTTTCTTTCTCTCTTTCTCCCTTTCTCTCTCTCTCTCTCTCCCCCTTTCTTTCTTTTGTTTTGGAAGTCTCGCTGTGTTGCCTAGGCTGGAGTTCAGTGGCACAATGTTGGCTCACAGCAAGCTATGCTTATCAGGTTCAAGTGATTCTCTTGTCTCAGGCTCCCGAGTAGCTGAGACTACAGGGGTGCACTGCCACACCCAACTAATTTTTTTTATTTTTAGTAGAGACAGGGTTTTGCCATGTTGGCCAGTCTGGTCTCAAACTTCTGACCTTGGGTTATCCACCCACCTCGGCCTCCCAAAAATTTGGGATTAGAGGCATGAGCCACCACACCTGGCCTGGTTTACGTTTTTTATATGGTCTTGGAACAGATAAACAGCTTCTATATAGGTCAACTAAAATGTGTTCAGAGACACACCAACCGCACGAAATGCTTTATGAATGGAGGGTGCCATAGTCAAATATGTTTTGTCAATGCCCTTTGGCACTACAGTGCGTATTAGCTTCCTACAAACATAAAAAATATGAAAGAAAACCACTTAAATTTATATATCTTCATTTTCATCAAACTTATTACACCATATAATTTTATTTATTTAACAAAACTTTTTAGAAGCCTAGTGTTTCATAGATTAAACTTTGGGAAAAACTATTCTAAGTATAAAAATAATAGCATATATAATAATGTTTAAAGTATCAATGTATTTTATTAATCATTATAGACTTTTTATGCAAAATAATTCATAAGATATTAAAAGGTAATTGATAAAGAAAATATTCAAAATAAAAATAATAAAGGGATAATATTGCTACTACATAATATAGTGTTTTTTAACAAAAAATCTAGAGAAAAAAGAAATATACTGATAAACAATAAATAAAAGACAAGAAAATTCACAGAAGAAATATGAATGGTCAATAAATATAAGACATAACCCACTGATAATAAAAGAAAGTTTAAGCATTCATTTTCCTAGTAATTGAGCAAGTATATGTACGTCATTATTAGCAACAAAATTTACAATAATACCATTATGTATGATACCTCATTATATGAGACACTATGAAAGGTACTTTAAATGAGTTCTTTAATTTATTCAAAATAAAATACAGTGCAAAATGCTAAAAACTAAGGAAGAGAAAAACTTTTACATATTTGGGCATTGTACCGTTATTCACTAAACTTACTGAGGGCTTTGGGCATCCAGTGGAAAGAGCATTAAAATAATGTATACACCTTATGTAGTAAAATCCTAACATTATAACATTATATTATGTAAGATTGTATTAACATTATATTAAATAGAAAATAATAAAAACATTAAAACAAAACTTATAAACGAGGTTATTTAAGAAGATACTGTGTGGCAGTGATAAATTGGAATCACAAAATATATGTTAAGAGGGAAATGACTGGATGAATCGCTGTATATTCACTTTCCAGAATGTTCTGTAATAATTACAATTATGTTTTCATAGAATATTGGTGAGACAAAATGCTCATGATATAGTATCTTGTACTTAGCAGGATATTAACTTTATACGCTAATTGAAAATTACTGTGTGTTTAAGTGTGTGCACTCATCTGTGTTTTGTTGCAGGGTGATGAGTTCATGTGATTTTTTAAAAGATGTTTAATTCTTAAATATTTTATGTATTTTCTAAAATAAGCATGGATATTTTATGGCAGAAAGTATTTAAAAATAAATTTCTTATTAACTTGTCATTCCCCTCTTCCCCACCTCCATTACAGGCATTAATTGCCTTCCATTTTGTCATCTTTATTTTTACATGTCTGACTTGTTCACTTTGCAACCCTTGTTCCTTGCAGGGTGGCTTCCAGATTTAGGTGGTTTCAAAAACACTCGTATTACTTGAAATCTATTTCAGTATTTAGCAGTTAGGGCCAATAGAAATTTATTTTGCAAATTGTTGTCCTCTTGTATTATTTAAGGGGTGAGGCTTGGAGAAATAAAACTTGGAAGGTATCATTAAAACAAGAAGTAAGGGAGGAGAGAGAAAATAGAAATGATGTGTTAATCCATGTAATCATTAACCAATCAATCTAATCATTCACAGATTTGGTTAGAAAACACAGTATATTTATTATCTTGTTTCTTGCTAGATTTACAGATCATTGAAGACACGGCATCTGCTCATTCTAGTCTTCCACAGGCGGAGAGGCAAGCTTAGGCATTAAACAAAAAGAATGAAGGTGGGACTCTGAGCTCCTGGGGAAAATAAAATTGTAACAATGGCAGCATCCAAAGTTTTGTGTAATATTGGGGGCAGAGAAATTAATTTGTCTTTCTCATCAGCCATAATTTCATTTAAATAGGGGGATGGTTTCACTCTTATTGGGTCTGGGACCCATGTTGGTTTATCATGCATTGCAGTGATGTTTTTCTCAACAGCATTCCATCAGGTGGGATAAGTGTGGAGAATGGACGGCAGCTGGGCACCCGAGTGGTTCCTGCAGAGTCAAGAGAAACAAAGTGAGAAGAGAAAAAATAATTCCTTCCAAATCCTCTGAAGAATATATACCAAACAGATAGAGCATAGGTCCTGGGAGATAAAGCAGACTAGCACTGAAGTTGGGATGGGGTGGGGTTGGGGAGTGGCATGTCATTTTCTGAACCTTGAAATATATATATGTCTTTATTGAGTTATAACTCATATAACATGAAATTTACATCATAAAGCATATAATTAAAAAGTTGTGGTGTATTCACAGAGTTGTGCAACCATCACCAAATTCTAAGTTTATAACATTTTCTTTGTTGAGAACTTTTTAAAAACAAGTTTATGGGAATAATTTTTAGAATCAAATTCTTTAAATATTTGCCACATGTACAAATCAAAATCAGTTTGGTAAAGTGTTTTCAGTACATTAGCAATAAAAAAAAAAAAAGCAATCTCTTTTCCTTTTTATGTTTCCTCAACATTTACGAGAGTATGACTTAATTATATATTTTCATACGATACTGTTAAGTGAACTTCTCACTATTTTTTCAAATCTTGTCCCCTCAGTTGGTGAGTAAGATCCTAGGGGCTGGGAATTTACAAATATGTATACATGAAAACAAGGTCATCGATCTTCCAAAGAGAAAAAAAAAAGAGGGGGGAGGATTTTCCTAAAATTTCTGCTATTTTCCACATTGTGCTTCTAACTCTACAAAACATTGGTTAAAAACTGCATGCCGAGGTGGGCAGATCACTTGAAGCCAAGAGTTTGAGACCAGACTGGCCAACACAGTAAGCCGTTTCTACTAAAAATACAAAAAATTAGCCAGATGTGGTGGTGCGCACCTGTAGTTCCAGCTACTCGGAAGGCTGAGTCACCAGAATTGCTTGAACCCAGGAGGCTGAGGTTAAAGTGAGCCAAGATTGTGCCACTGCACTACAGCCTGGGTCACAGAGCGAGACCCTACCTCAAACAAACAAACAAAACTAAAACAAAAACTGCATGCCTTTTAAAGGTAGGCAGCAAAGCCTCCAAAAATACAGTCTCCCAGGTCATTGCTTTCAGGCTGAGAATCATTTCTTTGGAACGTTCTGTATCTTGAGCAATAATTTTGGGATTCAGGAAAATTATGGAGAGAGTTAACTACCAGAAAGATATAAAATCTACCTTTTTCTCACATAATATAGGATTTTGAAATTGCTAATAATTATTACTCATCAGAAATGAGAAGCCTGTCATAATATGAAATGAAGCCTATTGATATGATTTGCAACTTTAATATAAAGCAAACTTGAGCCTCAATGCTTTGAGGTGACACTGACTGTAAAGCCCCTCATCATCTCGTCATTCAGTAAAGACGTTCTATGGGGATAACTGTGGAGACTGAGAATGAATGAGGGAAATAAACTCAGAACAGGTTATTGTTGTTTTCTGAAGGCAGGTATAATTTCAACTTATAAGAAAATCCATGTTAACTGAATGATGAGTTTATCTTCTTTTCAAAAGGGATAATATTTAGTATTAAACCTTCATTGTTTTAATTCAAATAATGCTGGTCCCCTGATCTTTTATCCAGAAAGGACTGAATCCCTAAACCTTAATTCAAATGTTCCTATTTATTCCCAGTAGCCTTAGGCAAAGATATTCAACCTCCATGCCTCATTTTCTCCATCTGTAGAATGGCAGTAATGATGCTTACCTGTCTTTCAGGAGTGTTACAAGGCTTCATTAGTTGTTTGTAAAGTACTTTGTAGATGAAGAACTCAGCATAAATACTAAGTACCATTGTTATTATGGCAGTTTTATGTTCTGTGCATCATTGCATTTTTTTCTTTTAAAAATATTTCAATTTTCCATCTGTCATTTGTAATACATCAAACAAAAGCTAAATTCTAAAATTTTCTCACATTACCCTGCTGAGAAATGTACATAACTAAAAGTCTCCAGACAGTATGCACAGTCCCCAAGTGCTTCAGGGCAGTCTCACAAAACTCACTGTCACCAAGCAACAATATTACACAGCCCATGTATAACTATTTTCAGAAATGCTCATCGTCCTGCAAATATTAAGATACTGAAAATAAATGAAAATCACTGATGGTTTGGTCTTTGAATATTATCAGGACTGCGTTTTGATTTCACAATAGTGAAAAGCCATTTGAGGTGTTGGTGGGTTTCGCCTCCTCTTCCTCCTCACTTCCTCTCTCCCATGCCTTCTACTTTCCTTGTTCTGCCTTCATTCTTTTAAAGATATTGTCAAACAAAGCAATTTAACATGGACTGAATCAGAATTCATAAATACTTTTAAAAAAATCTTACATGTAGGTGATGGCTCACTGTGGCTACTTGTTTTGTGTTTTTCTTTGCAAAAACAAGTTTTTCCAATACCATTTCCCTTCTGTTTGGGCCTACTTCAACACAGCCAACATTAAACGGTGAGCAACAAATAAAGACACATTACAGCAGGTCTAAGCACAATTGTCTCCCCAATCCATGTACTTGATAAATGCCCTGTTTCAGCTAAAAAAGATGTATAACGTTTCCCTTATACTAAATTTAGTGGTGAAAATCTTTAATAACTAAAACTGACTATAATTTCCTTTTTTCGACTGTTCTATTTCAAGGTCTCATAAATCCTTTTTATTGATTAGTTTTACACAGAATGCTGTAGAGCTCTAAACACAAGAAATTAAACTGAATGGCAGGTGGATTTTTTTCATGGTCTTTTCAGCTAACCCAGCAAAAATGAATTTTAATGTAATGGTTGACTTTGTGAATATTTCTTCCTTTTTATTATTTTTAAAGTTTCTGCTAATGTGTGTAATTTTATGTCACATACTTTTATTCTGAACTTAATTATAGAAAAGGATAACAACAACTTAAAATACTGCCCCAATTTTATTTTTGCTTCTTTGAAGTGTATCATCTGAATTCACATGTTGATATACATTATCTCTTAAGAAGAAATAATGAAATTTCTCATCAAAATGATTGGCATATAATTATGAAACTGGCTTCTGAATTGAATGTCAAGAAAATCTCCTGCATGGAAGCTAGGAAATAGATTTTTCACCTCTCTTGTATATGGAAAAAACACACTAGCCTTAGATTTAGGTAATTAATACAGTCTTCTAATAACATATTTGAATGGGAAAAACAGTTTCTACAAAAAAAATAGACAATATAGCACAAATAGTTAAAAGATTTTAATGCATTAAAAGGGAGTATAGATGTTTGGAGGTAATTTGCAGCTTCTGCATATTGTGCTTAAAATTCTGTTTTCTCTGAAGAGGAGATAGGTTTTCATAAGAGGAAAAAGAATAGGAGTAGCATCCCTGAGGTCTTTCCTTGAGTTTTTGGGTATTTGCTTTTCTTAAGTCACTCTATTAGGAAGCTTCTAGCTCCAAAACACAACTGTGGTACACAGAGTATGAAAATAAGAGGTGTTAGAGATCTTGTATCTCATAGTTAAGGTGACACCTCTTGGGGAAGACCTATGTGGAACCAATGATAACTCTGGGTACAGAATGGACAATAGCTGCCTTCTTTGGTTAAGAAGATCAGAGGAAATAATGACTGTGAGATGCCTGGAGTTCACTTATTTTGAGATCATGTGATTCAAACTGGTAAATGACAAGGAGCTTATATTTAGGGAGAGAATAAAAGGGAATTCAAATCCTGAGAAGCAGATAGAGAAGTGGAATGAGAAGTGGGTACTGCTTATCCTAATTCAGCCATTATAAAATATGGAAGACTCAGTCTAGGACAGAAACATGAAACATATTAAAAGCAAAATAATTTTTAAAATACTCAGCTAGAAGAAAGAAAAATCCTAACAGCAGCCACAAAGAAGTTAAAGAAAATGTGCTACCTTTTAAAACAGATTAAGAAAATTAAGAGGTTTTAAGGAGACACATTTTCTTTCAGAGTTATTAGTTCTGCAGAGAATATGTATGGGTACATAAAGATGACATCACAGAAGCCAGCACTGTATGCCTTTGGATCTCTCCCTTAATGGAAAGATTTGATCCAACATTGGTAAAGTAGAAATCATTTCTGTGCTGTGTTCCCTGTAATTAGTGATATACATGTGTATACTAACTGCAAAATTGCAATACAGGGACATCTTATTTTTTCTTTAATAATGTCTTTGCAATTAGAAAAAAAGATTCTAAAATTATATGGAGTCAACAAAGAGCCCAAATAACCAAAGCAAGTCTAAGCAAAAGGAATGGATATGGAGGCATCATATTACCTGACTTCAAATTATACTACAAGGTTATAGTAACCAAAACAGTATGGTACTGGTATAAAAGTAGACATATATTGGATAGTCACATGTGAAATTGTGACTCCTATAGCCACAATGAAATTGGATCCCTATCTCTTATCACATACAAAGATTAACTTAAGATGAATTAAAGACTTAAATTAAGACCTGAAACCATACAGATTCTAGAAGAAAACCTAGGAAAAACTCTTCTGGGCATTGGCCTAGGCAAAAAATTTATGACTAAGACCTCAAAGGCAAAGACAACAAAAAGGAAAATAAATAAATGGGACATAATTAAACTAAAATACTTCTGCACATCAAAAGGAATAATTCATAGAGTAAACAGACAACCTACAGAATGGAAGAAAACATTTTCAAACTATGCATCTGATGAAGGAGTAATGTCCAGAATCTACAAGGAACTCTAACAAATCATCAAGAAAAAAAAAAAAAAAACAATTCCATTAAAAAGTGGGCAAATGACGTGAGCAGACATTTATCCAAAGAAGATATACAAACATCCAACAAACATATGAAAAAAATGTTCCACATCAATAATCATCAAGGAAATGCAAATTAAAACCACAATGAGATACCATCTTACCCCAACCAGAATGGCCATTATTAAAAAGTCAAAAAACAATAGATGTGAATGAATGTGAAAGGGAACTCTTACACACGGCTAGTGGGAATGTAAATTAGTATAGTATGGAGATTTCTTGAAGAACTAAAAGTA